CGTTACTAACCCTGGATTATGAGGACAATCGGGTATATATATATATATATATATATATATACACACACACACTTACAACTTATTGTTTATAATTAAATGTAAAACAAATTAAAATTATTTAAATATCAAATTATAATATAATAAAGTCAATAATAACTATATTATAATTAGGGTAGGGTCAGACTTGAACTTTTTCCACTAGGATTAAAATTAATATTACTATTTAATATATATTTTCCTAGCCCACACAGCCTTGGATATATCACCAGCAAAGCTATTTTTTTTTGTTTTTAAAATGATTAGAAAGTAAGTCATTTTGATTGCATGTTGAATCTAAGCGCTTTGGTTGTGAATGACAGCACTCACGATGCATCCTCCCATCTCTGCAGACACTGGCTGTGAAAGCTGTGGTTGCACAGGGTGGTCAACACGCCGTTGACGGACTCGTCCATGCGCTCCAAACACACAGTGCACTTGGGCAGCTCAGTCAGATCCATCACAGGTAAACTGGCCCCCTGTTTATAATGAAGAGTTTGAGATCATTCACACATTCCAGAACACTGCAGCTATTGTTATGCATGTAAATCCGTGCTGGAAACACGTTTAAACAAAAACAGCTAGTCAACAACAAAACTGGTTAATCCTGGTCACTCAAGCAATGCATCGGTCTAAAATAGTGTTACGTTGCCAAGAATTTTATAACTTAGTGTCGTTTGTTCAAATCATAGTAGCTGCTTGCTTCAGTAATGATAATAATATGATTTCTTTTTAATGTTAGAACTTATTGTTAAATCTAAAACATAAATTAAAATGTTTTGCTATGTGGTTGTTCTGTGTACTTTAAATATGTTGAAATGTTTGGGTGGTTGCCAAGAATTTTAACACTTAACACAGTGTTATTGGTTTGTTCATAATAATTGCTTGCTTTAGTAATAATATATATTTTTTTATAACTAACTGTTAATAATTAAATATAAAACATGAATTAAAATGCTTTAAATATCAAATTTAAAATAAAAACTTTAAAATACGATTTAAGTGAACAGAACTACATTTAGTGTACGTAATTTTTTAGGTGAAAAACAGTATGCTAAAAGAGTAGTCCGAATTCATAGTATTCGCAAACAGTAGGCAAAAAATCCCCAGATGCTTTACTACTTCTGTTGATTCATTCGATGGACGCTTTACTATCCCATGAGGCCACAGGAAAGGATTTATACTTTGTAACGGTTGTTAAAGGGGCTTTATGTAATTTTTTGACTGTGCTAAAGCATAAAAACACCATAATATGTTTGCAGATATTTAAGAAACATGTTAAGTCAACATACTTGTTTCTCCGAAAAACAACACTACAGCCAGTTATTCTGCTTTTAAATGTGTGTTTCGTGTCGGAATGACCGTTTTTGTTTTGGTCTGTGTGACTCCACCCACTGCCAATTTACCCAATAGTATTTTGAAAAGTGTATTGAATCCATGGAAGCCAGCAAATGAGCTGGATCAGAGATTGCAGATTCTACCCGACCTAAAAAGCCTCGGCATCTATCTAAAAGGCTCGATGACCAGAGGAATATTAAAACTCAGATAAATCAACTCATCAACTTACATAGTAACACCCTGTCTACACTGGACGTGGTGCGACAAAATGCTATAGAACCCATTATAATCAGTGATGCTGTTTACACATTATTTTTTATGGTGGCTTTGTTGCGTCCAGTGTAGACAGACTTCAGCTGTTGCGGCACGTTGTGTCAGTTTCACTTATTCTGTTGCTTGTCTGGCAACCCGCATGAGTGTCGTGTCTGAGGAGGAGTGGGTGGGAAAAACAACTCTCTCCAATATTTTGAATTTGGACTGCAGTATCCATTTCAACTGCTAGCCGTCAATATTATATACTTTAAAACCAATTACCAGTCGGTACTTCTGACAACACTATTGTCTAGTAGGTACTACAATTGGTTATCAGCAGATCGGTCTATGTGCAGATATATTAGGGATCTGCTGATAAACGCGGCTTTTAAATGCTCCTGTGCGAGCGCTCGGTGAAGAGCATGAAGCGATGATCATTGTAGCCAATCACAGTCATAATCTGTTGAGCTCATGAACAAATTGGCCAATCCGCTGTGTTTAAGAATCGGCTCAACAGCGCTCAAATGTTATCTGGAAATGGATGTTTTTACAGTTTTTCTCAATTGCTTTGGCTCAATTCTCGAATTAAATTTTTTTTTTTCCGAAACAATAAGTTCAGATCTCTGAATAATTAGCTTCTTGTTCACATCAGATTGGAATTACAGCACAATCACTAACATTTTTTGAGAATGGAGGACTTCCACAACTCTGAACTGCAGCAACATGCTCGTGGAAGAGTAATTGGAAGACGTGTAAGAATACGTGGTGGTGGTGTTAGAGGAAGACATAATAGAGGAAGAGGTGGAAATAGAAGAGTCAGAGTCTCTG